CACACACACACACACACACACATATATATATATATTGGGTTGTCCGGCAAGTTCGTGCTTAACTAACCTATATAATTTAATAAATGTATACTAAAATTTAAATCTTCTGCATTTCAATTTTCCTTCAAAATCGGCACGAACTTTCTGAACAACCCAATATATATAGATATAAATTGTTGATAGTGTTTTAGTATTAATTCTGCAAAAAAAAGTTATTCATTTATGTTCTTTCTAGCTACACTTTATGTAGTTAGAAGCCATGTATTTTCTTCTAAGTATCATCTTTCTTACAATACTTAATTATGCTTATTGTAGAAATGCGAAAAATACAACGTTGGATAGTATAAAAGATTCTATTGAAGCCAGTATCAAACTACGCAGTGCACATTGAAGATCGCAAGTTAGAGATTAGAATTTGATCAATTGGTACAAATTTAATTGTTCGATATCTATTTTTCAATTCATAATCTTTGATTTTTAATTTTTTTCATAGACTTAAAATTTGGACGCTTCCTCGGTTGTCATAACAACGGCGTCTCGCCCGTCATCAGGTGGCATGGCGATCGCTCACAGAATGCGACGAACGCGACGCCGTGCTCGCCGTGTAACCGACGCCGAGACCGATTACCAAGTCGGTACGCGATCAGTAGCGGCACTGACATTCGGGGGAGTGGACGGCACGCGTGGTTCCCGTGTACTCCTCTGTCGCGTTCCCGTAGCACGAGCGGATCGGAGCGCGCGTCGCGCGCGAGTGCTACGCTAGGAAGGCCGCTTCCGCCTTTCCGGTCGCGCATCGTCGGGGCCTCTGCATTGCCTGCGGACCGCGTCGCGTGTGCCCGTGTCCGAAAAATGTAATATGGCGATGGTTGCGTCGAACATGAGCGGCCACATACAGAAGCAGCTCACCAGGAGCCTCGAGCGGATCCTGGAGGAGGCGCACCTAAGCGGCGAGCTCAAGCTGAGCGGCCGTAAGCTCAAAGACTTCCCGAAAGTCGGAAAAGTTGGCGCGGCTAAATACAATCTACAAGATACCGTAATCGCCGGTGAGTCTTCATTATTTTTTCCCGGGGTTTCCGGAGTCATCCCCTTTTTTTTTCTTTTCGCTTTCTTGCCGAGCGCTCGAAACGTGAGAGAAGCAAGAATCACTGGTTGAAATATCGATTTTTGCGTTTTGTAAAATTTTATTTATGTTTTCTAATTTTGTTTGTTTGCTGCACTTCTTTACGACGTCGCCGCGCGTCTTATGTCACGACAAACCCGCGTGTTCAATGCTCGATGGATTAAAGGCGTCGTGTTGATGTACGCGCTATTGTAATTCCGAAATTTTCAATGAGCGCGTGAACGTTTCATAAACGGCATTTATTAGGATGTTTATTGTTTGGGACGTAAAAACCTGGAATTTTCGGGAGATTTTTTATCCTTGAAAATCAAAGATTTTTTTTATAGAATTTCAATTTTATAGAATTTCGGGACATTTTAAATAAATTTTGAGAATTTTACTTTTAAATTTAAATTATATGTCTCTTTCTGAAAACAATGTTTCTTTAATCATTTTTTCTTTATAATACAAAATGTTGACAGTTAAGAATAAGTATAACATACACATCCTTATATTTATATACGTTCTTGTCGTTTCGCATATTTTTTTTATACAAATATCAAGGTAACATTAAAAAGCCAATCGATAAGTAATATGATTTTCCTTATTTTATTCGTTTTATGACTAATTGTAAAAAATGACAGATTCTTAATTTACATATAATGTTGATCCAAATTTATCGAAATAACGAATAACCTTATTCGAGGATACACAAATAAATATTACGGGAAATAAATCGATCGTTTTTCTAAAGCTTCGTATGTTTTTGAATATATTTAAAATGCAAATAAAAATAAAGAGACTAAATTTAGATCAATATTTTTATGCAAGCATTATCAGAAGTAATAAAAGTATCGAAATTTTTCTAAAATGTATTTTCGCCGAAAATAGATAATTATATTTAGATACAAATTTTTAAAAATAACAAGAATGATCACGGAACTTGGATCGCACTTCTCTGCATAATCAGAGTATTTTCTGAAATCTTGTAAAAGAATTCTCATATTTTTGAAGATATTTTTGTTCAAAATATCAGATAAAATTAAAAAATCTTTTAATGCAACTTTAAAATAAATTGAAGTCAAGCACAATCCAAATAAACTATATATTAAAAATTAATAGAAGATAAGAATTCAATAAAAATATCTGTTCCAATTCTCAGCAACATAAAAATCTGTATACTTTCTCTGATGAAAAAATTCCTTCAAAAGGTTTCTCTTCTTCGAATCTTCAAGATCTGCAAGATTTTAATTTATAAGTTAAAATGTGTAATATTCGCTCAGTGTTTATCAGAGTAGCTCAATTAAAAATAAAATGTCCTCATATAAAAGTTTTCTTTAAATTTATTGATAGTTATTATAAAAAAATTATATTCATAAGGGAGAATTATTTCTTGGTGATGAATAATAATATTTCATCGGGATGCTGCAGTTAATTCCCTTGAATCATTCAAGGAGCAAATACATAGTACCGTTTGTGCCAAGTGCAATGACCAAAGAAACCTTTAAGCATTACCTAACGCACGTGCACCTGCCAAGTTCGACATCTGGCGTGCATTACTCATTGGTAATTGCAACTGATTGCAAGGACTTTGTAGCAAACATAGAACTAGCAGATTTATTAAACATTCTGCTAAGCATTTAGACGGCACTTCACTTTGAAAACATTACAGTGAATTAGATTCGCATTCTCATCGCATTGCATTTATGCTTAATGTCTATTCTTCGAATTTCATTTCATTTTTAATCCAATCTGAAATATTTATATTTTGACTATTTTGCGATTATATAATAGTTAATAGTCTGAGCTAATAACAAGTTAATGGAAAATCATTGGGTTAAAAATAAGATAGTTGATGTATAAATAGTATTTAATAGTAATTAGTATTTATGTTAATAGTTTATTATGTTAACAATTTATATTAAGATTTATAACAGATTGCGAAGAGATTCTATTTTTTACGCCGGCTTTATTTTTTTACTTTGTAAAAGATAATAAAATCACATTGATTATGAAACATTTAAAAAATAATCAATTAAAATAGATTTCTCATTATATTACTAATCAAACATGATATACATATATGGTATATATATATATATATATATCCACAT